GTCTCTGAGGGCCAGCAGCTGAGTCTCTGAGGCCCAGCAGCTGAGCCTCTGACCAGCGCGCGGCCCAGCGCCATCCGCGTGCTGTCGGTGCGGCAGCTGGCACGCCCTGCTGGCGCGGTGCCTGCTCCCCCGCCAGCTCCAGCGCCGCTCGCTGGCGCCAACTGAATCAGGACCTTGCTGAATGGACGTTTATCACGTTGTGTCCTGCATATTTACGTGACTTATCAAAATATACATTTTGGTAGAAGTATTTAAGTCAGGTAGATCAGAGGGCAACCGCGAACAAAATACGGGACCGCATGTTTCGATGTGGCTGTCTTTTCTAGACTGTTTCTTGAACTCCGTGAATCCTCCCCAGTTAGTGACTAGTGCCCTCCCCTGCCAACTCCTCCTTCTTCTGATCCATTTCGCTCTTCGCCTGCTCTCGGAGGTAAGATAAAAACAAACGCAGAGCACTGCTTCCTTGCATTCTTCGGTGTATTGTCCTCCGCTGCGCTCTCAGTTCTGCACCATCGTCCAGCCAACTGAGCTGGCGCCTGAACGAGGGCGCACCATTGGGGTGTGATGTCGTACTTTGGGGCTGGTCCAACATATTCAGATGTGGCAAGATCGGTTCGGCATTCCGCGCGAAGCCTCCCCGGGCAACAGTCTCTGGCCTTAGACATTCCGCCGATCGGAACGGAGCTGACAAGAACGAGTGTCTTATTGGAAAACCTGGCTCACCAAAAGTGGGATACAGTTCAAGGTATGCACCGCCGACAAAAGGAGTCGCGAACGATGACAGGTTTGTCACCGCCTTGAAATCGAATAAGTGCACCAGCGTGTAACCGGGCTTGCGAGGACATGGTTTGTGTAGCTGATGCCGCTGGTAAAGGTGTATTTACAGAGCTGGTGGCGACTATTTACAGAGCTTATCATAACTTCACTCGGCGCTGGTAAACTCGGAGTTGCGCTCAGAATAAGAAAATACGTTAGGTCTAAATGGAATTGATTCTTTTCGCAATATTTGTGAGTTACGTTGTCAGTGAGCAGTCGGGGTTACGTTGTCAGTGTTGTTCGTAGTTATGGATAGGAGAACAGGACGAACTAAGTAGAAATAAAGCAACAAGAGCGTCATTGTTTGGACAATGTTTGTATGTACAACAAATGAAACACAAGGCACGATGCTGTCTTCTGAAAACCATTTTCCCTACGCTAGCCTGTCTAAGGCTCACAGAATAGGTTATTTCCAAACCGTTCCCGCAGTATCCGAGCCGAACAAAACCGGCCCAGGAAGTGAATGATATTCCATTAAATCATCGGAATCGGAAAAGACTTAAAATCGTGCTGTGCTGCTGATAGGCGAACTCGGAATCAGCTCCATGCTTATAAGTGTCAGAATCGGAAGATTTCGTTGAAGACGAGTCAAGTGGGTAAATGTTGGCACTATCGTTATCAGCAGCTAAACTCGCATAGGTAGCCAGAGTGACCGTCTTGCAAGCTTATGAGATACTGCTGACATCTGAAAGGCGAAGCCTGCAGCTGGTGCGACCAAGTCAGCACTTCGGCCTGCAGCTGGCGCGATCAAGTCAGCACTTCGGCCTGCAGCTGGCGTGTTCAAGTCAGCACTTCGGCGCACAGTGTGTTGCTGTTTTTGAACCGCGATTTCATATGTTCGCCATGCATATCCCTGTTCAGCAGCCCGCCAGCTATAGTAGATACGCAGCGACGCTTTTGAAGTTCTCTGTTGACATGACCTAGATACTGGTTCGATTGCACGTCTGTTGCATAAAGATCACGACGCTGAAACACGTCTGGCAGTGAAAGCGAGTTCCCTAGCAGCGAATGCTGTGGATGATGTATAAACAGTATCGTTTTCGGTATGGCTTGTGGGCAGTGATATTGCTTTTGAGCATGCTGCACCCAGCTCATATTCATGTGTTTGCCCTTAAATAAATGAGCTCCGTTGACTGACTTATTACTCGTTTGCAATCCGCTAGATGCACTACCATCGCTGAATGTCATGATGCAGATCGGAGCTTTTATCCAGCAACAGTATGTCATGTACACTGCACACTCACACCAAGTATATATGGCATCGTCGGCTATCTTAGACAGGTGAGACGATATTGGTATGTACCTGTGGAAAGACATTTTGTCATGAGCCGCCATGACCGCAGCAGCTCATAGAGATGTGACCGGGTCATGACTGTGTTTACGCTTGGATCGGCTGGCCAGGCGACCCGAGGACGCTACATCTGTGCTCGAAGCGCGTGCGCGTGCGCATGACATAACTGTTGAGCATTGTTGCAGGCATCAAAGTGAAGGTCACTGTCGACATTGTTATGTTCGGTCGTGTGTCATATGTGATATGAATGTGCCTTAAAACTAAGCTGTTTTATGTTACAGGTAGTAGCCATGCGTATCAGGGACATGCAATTGCAGGGTGCTACCCCTCGCTTATCAATTTTGCCATGCATTTGTTATGTCCGTGACTTAATATCAGCTCTTTTAAATTGGGAGGTGGTTTTTGAGTTTATTTCAATTAATGTATTATTTGCCAATGACCTGAACTGCAATGGCGTTTGTCATTGTGGACAATATTCATAAAATATCCAAGGAAATTCTGGAACGTAGCCAAGGATGGGGCAGCGAGGAACATGGGCCCCTGAGTCAAAAGGTTTGCACAAGGTCCTGAACGGCCTCGCAGAAGTTAGGTACAAAGTCGTGTGATTTCGAAGGAAATTTGACATCCGACCCCATGAGGAAGATTTGGGCTATGTAAATTGCCTGAGAAAACGGTACTGAAGAGTTCGAGGGCAGGCGTCGTTTTATTCGCATGGCACGCTGAACAATCTTAAATGGATCATAAATGTCTCCTACCAGTCGGGCACGGGTTTGCAATGCGCGCTACACATGAAAACAAGCAACTTGAAATGTGTTTTGTGCTAAATCCATTGTTTTGTAACATGCACTCATGTGACCTGAAGACGACCAGTTTAATTCAGTTTTTCCTCTTTCCAAGCTCGTAGCATTCTTATTCCATGCCACGCAGAAGCTATGTATATCAAGCCTACCAGAAACCCTGCCCGCCAGTTCGTCCCCAGCTGAATGTGCACCAAGCCTACCTGACACCCTGCCCGCCAGTTCGTCCCCAGCTGAATGTGCACCAAGCCTACCTGACACCCCGCTTGCCAGTTCTTCCCCAGCTGTTTGCAGTGTTATCGTCTGACGGGGTTTGACAATTTGTTTTGCTTGATGGTGACGCAGAGGAGCGTCAAAGCAGCAGCAGTGTGCTGCGTGCTCACCTTTGCCTGGATCAAATGGATCCAGTTCATGAAACAGTCGCATTTGCCAGTTTAAACTCATGGAATCAAAGAAATTTGGTCGCGCTTAGGATCTTGCCCTACACGGTAGTGGTGCAGTCCTGAAAGCAGCATGTGAATCCCGTGATCCTCAAGCAGCATGTCGTTGGGATGCTTTATCAACACCGTATTCAATGGTCAGATTTGCTCTCCGTTATTACATTCAAATAAGCAATAACAAACTTCTGGAATCGGGCATGCAGACCATAATGTAGCTGCGGGCAAACGGGCATTAAATATAATGCAGCGAAACCTTCGTCACCGTACATGCACACGCCTATACACTGATACATTATGTGGCCAAGTGGTCTAGGTGATGTTATGTGCTTCTGAGAAAAAGTAACTACACGGCTATAATATTTTGTCCGCAGCCATAGGACAACGGACGTCGCCTACGCTGGGGAGAGGGGGGGGGGGCCGGGGAGGTTATGGCCACTTGGATCATTTCTTTCCCCTCAACACTCGAAGGACCACTGTCAAACTTCTCACAAAGTTGTGGGTTAGTGATTTAGTGTCATATGACCACTAACCACAGCCATAGTTTTATGGCATCGTCCCACCTTTAAAAAATGTGTGCTAACGCCCCAGCATGCCTTGCTCTAATTTCATTTACGGTACACTGGTTTGTCGTTGACAGCCATGTTCTCTAATGTTTGACTTTTCTTTAAGTAAGACTTCTAGTTCATTTAATACCTGAGTTGTGGTCTACTGCTTTGCTCCACCAGCTCCAAAGTGTCATCTCGGTTCCGGAGAAGTGTCCCAAATGAGGTCTCAGGTCGAGGTGAAAGTCTGTCAGTGAACGGAAGAGGTGTACGATTAGTTTTGAATAATAATTGTCGTTAGAATGTGGCCTGCGCGGAAGATGATGTGGCGCTGCAACAAAACGCTCCATATATATATATATATATATATATAATATGTTATGATATATGGCACACCATATATAAAAACAAAAGAATAGAAAAGCAATGCTCCTGTGGTCTGACGCCTGTTCCTATTTCCACGCCGCTCTAACTACATTGTGATAAATGGGTATCCATTTCCCGCCATACAAAGTCTCTGAAGTTTTGCTCTAATTTCATCTTTGTTTTTGCCATTCTCGTTTTGCAGATGCTTGCTTCGCTGGCATTTTTCTATCGATCAACCAGAGAAACCTTCCATGAAATAATGACCACATGCTCAACGCTTCAATGCTGAAAATGATCAACAGATGCACAGTACTTATTTAAACTTTCTGTTCATATGTCCTGTCCTTATCATCATTACAAATTGATTTCCGCTGTGCACACTGCTTGCGGGCCTCGCGTCAACGCAAGGCACGTGCACCATATAATTTACGCCAGATAGGTCAAAGTTCAGTACAATACAAGCCGTGCCCGTACATCATCGATGCGGCCCGTACATAGGTGTGTCAAATGCAACCCAGGGGCGCACTTGTTTTTGCTGTTGCGCTGTTCCCGTCCTAAAGCAAAAGAATTGACTTCAATTCGAATGCCGACTTGTAAGCATTAATCAGAATGCCCCTAGATAACGTAGTCCATTTGACGAGACAACGCACGGTTTTCACCCATGTGATCTTAAGCGAAAGCCCCACGCCTCAAAACAAATGCTCCAACAATCTTAGCGCATGCAAATGCAGATGGGCTATGGTAAATATGCAGATCGGAGATGAAAGCAGTGTTTCGGCACGGAGCTGTTTTCTTGGGTAAACTTCTCAAGACACATAAGACGTGAGTAGTGTTGTATATCAATGCTTTGAGTCAACTAGAGCCGAGTTTTAAAAAGCCATTAAGCCATGATGCGTCCCCTCCCCAGCCCCGTGTCAACTAAACAAATAAGGCTGGTGCGATTTCAGGTCCAGCGAACTGCGCCAGCCTGTACGGTCCCGCTCCTTTGATGCAGATTCCCCTGAGCCTGTTCTCCCGGCCTGGGCCATCGCGCAAGAGCCAGCTCCAAATGACCCCTCGGCCTCAGGTGACCCTGCTGCAACCCACGCGCCCTCGCGAAGTCAGATGAGTGAAAACGGAATGCACCGTCGTGCCTATAACCTGCCGTGCCCACAGCGCTTCGAATGAGTTTGGGTTTTGGATGGATCAGGTAAATAGAGACAGAGAAGGAAACGTTTGTATGTCACAGTTATTACATTTTGTATGTCATGCATTTGCATTCATTGAGCACGTTCTGCCTCCTAAAGTTCTAACGCAAGGTTCAGGTCGTGCCAAAATGTTCCCCTTCATGTCGGTAAACACGACATAGATTTTATAGGATTCCAACGCCAGATCGATGCGATGCATCGCATCGAAATATATCGTAGCATGGATGCGGCTCATCGAAATTGTGCCATCGATGTATATCAAGAATCACATCGATTGTTCCTCTGAGTGAACAACCTTCAGGTGGTACTACAGACGTTAAAGACGTTCTAGCGAACATCGATTATATTGGCGGTACTTAATATTTAGAGCTGCGCTCGTTTTATTTCGTCACTGCTAATGAGGCAGTACTTAAGGGAGCGGACCGGCGGACTGGCGGACACAGGCGGACTGGGAACGAATCGGGTTAACTTGCAGTGCCTTGCCTGCAACATCGCCTCTGCACTCGGCTCCTTGCGATCGACTGTGGCCTTCGGCCAGCTGCAATGTGGCCTTCGGTCAGCTGCAATGTGGCCTTCGGTCAACTGCAGTGTGGCCTTCGGTCAGCTGCAGTGTGGCCTTCGGTCAGCTGCAATGTGGCATTCGGTCAGCTGCAATGTGACCTTCGGTCAGCTGCAATGTGGCATTCGGTCAGATGCAGCGTGGCATTCGGTCAGCTGCAATGTGGCATTCGGTCAGCTGCAATGTGGCCTTCGGTCAGCTGCAATGTGGCCTTCGGTCAGCTGCAATGTGGCCTTCGGTCAGCTGCAATGTGGCATTCGGTCAGCTGCAATGTGGCCTTCGGTCAGCTGCAATGTGGCATTCGGTCAGCTGCAATGTGGCCTTCGGTTAGCTGCAATGTGGCATTCGGTCAGATGCAGTGTGACCTTCGGTCAACTGCAGTGTGGCATTCAGTCAGCTGCAATGTGGCCTTCGGTCAGCTGCAATGTGGCATTCGGTCAGATGCAGTGTGACCTTCGGTCAGCTGCAGTGTGGCATTCGGTCAGCTGCAGTGTGGCATTCGGTCAGCTGCAGTGTGGCATTCGGTCAGATGCAGTGTGGCCTTCGGTCAGCTACAGTGTGGCATTCGGTCAGCTACAATGTGGCATTCGGTCAGCTACAGTGTGGCATTCGGTCAGATGCAGTGTGGCCTTCGCTCAGCTGCATTGTGGCATTCGGTCAGCTGCAGCCACACACTCTGCAGGAGCGACACACGCGCTGCTCGTACTCGGGTGGCGGGCGCTGGTGCGGCGCTGGTGCTGGCACTGGGGGCGCGGCCGCTGGTGCGGCCCAGCGGCTGGGCGCTGCATGAAATCACCGTGCGTTCGTTCAAGGGATGCCAGCATGTCGCCCTTAAGAGCATCCCGTACTCCCGGCCGCCGGTGGGTGACACGCGTCTCCGGCCTTCTCGTGGCCGCCCCGGCTGGTCTGGGTGCGCGATACCACCCGGCGGAGTCCCGTCTGCCTGCAGTACGATACGATACGCCACTCAGCATGGGGTGTGGAGAGGACGGCCTGCCCGTGAAAGTGTGCTTCCTCGGCTGCCGGCCAGTGACGCACCGTCCGATCTGCCGTCATGGCGTGGGCTGGGAATCCAAGGTGGAAGCTTCTTCAGCGGCTCTGGCGACGCCAGTCTCAATAGCATTCTCTGTCTCATGAATGAAGACTCCGCGATCGTCCGCTTTAGCTACCGACTCGCTGTCTTCCGCCGAGGGGCACAACGGCGCCGGGTGGCCTAAGCCTGCTGCCCCCTGTACTGGCGCTGCATCAACGTCTTCCGCTGCAGTACCAGCGTGCAGTTGATGACGCTGTTCTGCGGGTGGCCCGGCTGTACCAGCGTCTCGCTGCGGGTGATCAGCCCGCCGACGTCCGGCCTGGGTCCACCGAGCCGCTGGCCAGACGGGTGACGCCTCACCCGGTGGCGCCGCACTTCAGCGCCGAGCTCGGCTTCCATCGGAGCAGAGCCGGGGCACGCCCGAGTGCGTGCGCTGCGCACATGTCACCGAACTCCTGCGCGTGCTTGGCATGCTCCCCTCTCATCCCCCTCCCCCCTCTCTCCTTCTCTCAGATGAGTGGCCTGGGTCAATAGTTCTGCCCTCGCGTAGACCACATCGCCATGTCGCGCTTGCTGCCCGCCGAGCCGAATGTGCTGTTCCTTGCTGCCCATCGAACAGCATGTGCTGTTCCTGGCTGCCCGCCGAGCCGAATGTGCTGTTCCAGCGTGGCGGGGTCAGCTGTGTGTGCTGTGTGACGGGCGGCGTCCGGGACCAGGCTCTGTTCATCCTGAGCTTTGCGCGAACCCTCGTAGAAGCACTTGAGAAAGCTCATGCGGAGACCTGTGCAGGCCTGGACATTTGATATCTCTTGGTGGCAGGGGCAAAGCTAAAAAAAAAACATGTGGCGAGACCAGTTGAAATCACTGACAAAACTGGATGTTTTCCTCAGAGACAATGTGATTAGAAGAGATTAGATCTCTTCGAAGTTTTCCGCAACCGCCATTTCAAACGCCCTTTTTCGACCAAGGCAGGGCTGGCCTCGCAGTGCGTACCCGCCTACATGGGCACAAGCACCACGCGGGCACGGTGAACCGCGTTTCACCGAGCCTCTGCACATCCCGGCACGCTGCTGCGCCGTTAGTGGCGCACATCCCGGCACGCTGCTGCGTCGTTAGTGGCGCACGCTGGCCGGACTGTTCATGACGAGCGGCAGATACTACCGCGGTTAAGACTCTCCTGAACACACTGCGTTCCGTCTGCTGGTCAGCCCGCGGACGGGCCTCATGTGACGCGGCTGGCCCGTCGCAGATGTCCTCGATACACACGCCGGGCCTTCTTCATGCGCAGAACCAACGTCACATGCGGCTCAACGGGGCGCTGTCTCTCGGAGCCAGAGCGCTCGAGGAGCGCGTCCGCTTCTGGAGCGTGGAGGAGCTTGCCGCGGGCCGAGTGGTGAAATGCGTACCGGCGACTGTTCACTCAGCGACGGGAGGAGCTCTGCTCTCCATGCGAGACCCATTCCGACTCGTCGAGTCGAGGCTTCCGACGATGCGGTGCAGCTGAAGGAATGCTCTTCTTCTCTTGGGGATAAACTGGAAGCATTCTTAAACTTAACCTTGAGCTCGAGCTTGGCGATCGACGTTTGAGCATTTACATCGCGTTATCATGTATCATCAACGGTCTTGAGTGTGGCATAGTATTTCTTTCGGCTTTTTCCGCGTCTTACTGTCGGCTTTCCCTCCGCGTCTTAATGCCAATCCCTTTCCGCGTAAAACCCAAACCACCGAAAACAACCGCTGGAAATCGGCGATAATTTTTTTTTTTGTCATGGGTCCGCTTATAAATGGTGAGGACCGCCAGCCATGATGACGACCATATCTTACCACGTGTTATAATTGCTACATTACCACATGCTACATTTATGTTTGTAAGGTACCAGTTACCGAAAATGTTTGCCACGCGTTTTTTTTTTTGGTGGACAGCGGTGATGACTTCTCTCATTTTCATTTTACATGCATTCTGCGGCGGTGAGCGTCACTGCACGGTGCCTGCGTGGACTGGGTCTGTGCGGACAACGAGGAACCTATATGTGCCAGTGCTCGCTATTAATAACAGGTCTTCGAGACCGTACTCACACTTGCCAAGACCCAAGGCTTTTTTCTTGATTTGCGGCGGTTTATTAAGGGTCTATAAATAGAAAATAATGTGGAGATCTTATAACTGTTGGACTAACGCTTATAGCGATTGACTTTGCGGTAAAACAAATCGCTGTACCTTGCGTCACCTGGGGCAAGACGTGGGGATAATAAGCCATATTTGCAGTCAAGCTGTTCCTGTCGGTATATTTAGAGTACGGTTTGTGACGACAGGGGCGGATCCAGAGGGGGGGGGGGGGGGGGGGGGGGGGGCGGGGGCACGGGGCTATGGTCCCCCCTTGGGCTCCGAAGTAGTCCATTGGCTGCGAGGGGGCCCAGCACCTGCCGAACAGGTGCAGTTTTTAAAACACAAAACGCAACAAAACTGGATATCTCTGGTCTTCCAGACGACCAAGAACAGCTGTAAGCGAAAGTAAAGGGCCTATGGGAAGTCAAAAAATTATTCAATGATCGGAGAAGTTGTGGACTGGAAATTTTAAGCTTCATTTCACTGTCTAGGGGCCTCATGCTGTTTCTGAGAGACCTATATGCCCACTTGCAGGATCATTTCGATAGTTAAGGGGCATTCCACGTTGTCGTTTATTTCTTTGATTTTGCTCGGGGGCCACGCACTGTTGTTGGGGCCCTTCCCGCTAGCGTGCTGGGGCACTCTTGTCAATCACGGGTCCTTCCCCGTGTTCTTTCCATTCGCAAGGAAGGCTCTGTGGGCTAAAGCTGGGTCCCATATCTTAACTTGCCGGGGTTTTCTCGGTTGCCCAGGGGCCCTTCACATGCGTATCGGTTAACCTACCGACACGCTTGCGATATGCTCATGGGCTCTCTCCATTGGTCTAGGGCGCTTCAAATTCTCTGTCACTTGCTTAGGGCCCTGCACTCTTGTCGGGGGCCCATCTGATGGCCTGCTTGGGCACAACAGTCGTTCGAGGACCCTTCACACTGGGTCTTGGGTACTTCTTTTCTTAATAGGAGGCCTGCGCTTTGGGGGGGGGGGGGGGCTATCTGATAACCTGCTCGGGCACATTCAATCGTTCAGGGGCCCTCTACTTTGGGCCTTGGGCACGTGCTATCTGAGTAGGGCCCTACGCACTTGTCCGGGGCCCCCTCTGTTCGCCTCCTGGGCCACACTGGATTGCTCGGGGGGCCCTGCACATTGGTTCTTGGTGTTTGAATCTAGGGCCCTCTGTTCTTAT